ACGTTGTTTATCCCTGGAAATAATTAGAATTAAAGTAAACATTACAGTTTTGAAAACATAGCTTGTCCAAAAAAGTGGTCTCTTGGCACAACTTTCCCCGGTACAGATTCAGGGTCAGAGTTAAGCCGCCTAAAAATGTCTGTACTGAATGTAATATTACCACTACCTTTTAAAAACCATACAAGTATTTATTTCCCAAACACAAAATTATTAATTTTGTGTATGGTTTCCTAGAAGCAAGGGTGGCTAAACGTACCCCTTTGGCTCAACTTATCCCCCTCTCCCCTAGGGAACAGGGTGCCATTTGTAACCGTTTAATGTCCGCTGACCCCCTGGTGTACTGTGGGTAGTTGTTTGTGTTTTGATTATTCTATTTCAAACCCAATGAAAATGTGTCCTTATATACTGAACTGGAGTGGAACAAGTCTCATATGTAACCTTTGGTCTTTCAAAGAGTAATGTGTTCTCTAAGATTAAAGCTGAAAGTCACTAGCTGCAGGTTTTCCACCAGGCCTGGTCAGGCTAAAGCTTTTATGTTCAATAGTATTTGGAATAAAGCAAAGCACTACATCTGGGTTTTTTTATCCTGTGCCCTTTGCTACGGTAGTGGCATTTGTTTGTTTTGGTTGTGTTTTAATCAATTCCCCTTTGGGGAGCTTTTAAATAAAATACAAATAAAAAAATGAATCCAAAAAGCAAAGCAACAGATTTTCAGCCCAGGGTTACCCCTGTGGCTCCTCTCATTAAAACCATAAATGCACCCTCCTGCTCTCATTAGCATGGAAGCATTTTCTGCAGGCCTCAAACAAAGTCTGAGCAACTAAACGACGACAGGCTTTCATGTACAATGTTGTTGTACACAGAGACAGCAACGCTAGGCTGTCAAACGCACAAAAACCCACAGAACAGGAGGAGATTGCTGGCTTTGCTGAAGCAAGGATATGATTGGTAAAGTAATCTCCTGCCTGTCTTCCTGTCTATGTGGAGGTGGACACCAAACATCAACAAAACATGAATAGCTTAATTTTCTGTGTTGTGAACAAAATGCCAATCACCATTGACAGACTCAAAGACATCTTTCTCTCATACAGTGTTGAACAGTTCCTACATAGAACAGAGAATGTTACTCACTGTTCCATTGTCTTATGACTATGATTTCCGGATCACTGCAATGGTTTGAAAATAGCTTCTACTGTAGCCAGGGAGCACCTCCTGCACTGTAAGGGGATTGGACACTAGTACTGCTACAGTAGTCATGCCAGTCAGGGGAGCTCTCTCACTTCCCTTCCTGCTCCTCCTGAGCCCCAGCCCGAGCCTAGGGGAAGACACAGGTTATAACCTAAGATGTTCCAAACAGCTGTTACCATGCTAATGAGAAAATCTGTTGGAAAACTCGTCTTCAGTTATAATGACTCTATTTAATTGTCATTGTCAAAGAGAGGGAAATTAGTTCTCATCACACATAGAGTACTTTCTAATTGGTAGCAAGTTATACCCCTACCTGACATGATGATAATTAGCACTAGATTTACTCAAATCTGTTCCTGTAATGACATACCTGTAGGCTTTGTCGCAATGGTTATATCATAGCATAGCATTAATGCACCATGCACCCCCCTATGCACTCCAACGCACCTCCACAGTGGCCAAGGACATGGGTGTTCACCAACTGGGTCGTCTGGTGGAGCTGCTGACCTCCAGGGAGTGTGAGAACCACCTCTCTGCCCTGTCCCACCCAAAACATCTTCCAGCAGCTGGACCATCTCTCACTGGAGAACAACCAACTGGACCTCCAGAAGAGAGTCAAGACAGACACTAGTACAGCAACGCTGACAGTACATCACAACGAATAGCTCAGCTGTCTGCACCATACATTTACTGTAGTTAGAGTCTTAGAGCAATGCAGCAATCAAAGGGCGTAGCTATCTGTCCATATCTGTATTGAGGAATGTACTTACTACGACTGTGATAGGTGGTTGTCTCACCTAGTTATCTTAAGATGAATGCACTAACTGTAAGTCACTCTGGATAAGAGCATCTGCTAAATTACTAAAATGTAAATGTAAAATGTAGCTGAATACACAACATGCTCTGCTCTAACCCAACACTAATATGGGTTTATCATAAAGTGAGGCACTCAATGAGATTGTTGTTTATCCCAGTCTGTGAGGACTCAGAGGAGAGTGAGCTGTCTGTTCCTCCTGTGTCCTGCTCTGTTTGCCTGTTCCTAGTTAGCTGCAGCAGCGTGGCTGGGCCTGCTGTCTGACAGCCATATTCTGTGTGTTTACCAGAGAGGGACAGTGAGGCTCAGTGCCGGACAACTCTGACAGACTTGCTGCTGAAGGACGGAGAACAGACATACTACGACAGGCTGTCTCGTGCCCTGCAACACGTCGGACGGACAGACATCGCCATAGGTCAGACACAGACGGACGGACGGATTGACAGACAGTCATGCCAGTCAGGGGATACAAACACAGAACTAATGATGTCTCATTGAAAGCAATCAAAGATATGGGATTCAGCTGCCAGAGTAGAACAACACGATAAGTTAACTTGAACATTTGATTTGGACATGATTTCACCTAACAAGGCTTCAATGACAATGTCTACATAATTACCTCATTACAACAAGATCCGTTTTAATTAGAATTTCAAAAATTGCATATTTTGCACAATGCCTGTCTCTGGCATGTGGTGGGGTCCAGTGTGGAAGAGACTCCACAGTCGAGTACCGATGGATCCGAGGTGGTGTAAATGATCTGACAGAGGACTCAGTGGAGCTGACACCACATTCACTACAAACCATCTGCTCCTTTCATCATCATCAGAGAGAGAGAGAGAGAGAGAGAGAGAGAGAGAGAGAGAGAGAGAGAGAGAGAGAGAGAGAGAAGAGAGAAGAAGAGAGAGAGAAAGAAAGAAAGAAAGAAAGAAAGAAAGAAAGAAAGAAAGAAAGAAAGAAAGAAAGAAAGAAAGAAAGAAAGAAAGAAAGAAAGAAAGAAAGAAAGAAAGAAAGAAAGAAAGAAAGAAAGAAAGAAAGAAAGAAAGAAAGAAAGAGAAAGAGAGAGAGAGGGTCGATAGAGAGAGAGCGAGCGATAGAGAGAGAGAGGGTAGATAGAGATAGAGATAGAGAGTGAGACAGAGAGTGAGAGGGAGAGGGGGTAAAGCGAGGGGGATGGAGAGCGAGACAGAGACATAGAGAGTATGAGAGAGAGATAAACAGAGAGAGATAAACAGAGAGAAAATGATAAAAGCGTGACAGCCCAAGAACATCCCTTTAGTCAATACTGTGTATGAAAGCAATTTATTTTAGAATCAGAATGAATGTGTGGAATCTGTGGATACAAAAAACACCAATTACCCTGGACCTGATTGCAATTAGGAATAAATCCACTTTTACACAGAAACTTGGTCTGTTTGTTTAAATTCTTTATGCAAGTCAAAAAGAGATCAGCTGCTGTATTGCTGAACTAATTGTATTTACAGTACATAGGCATGCTTAGTTCATGTCCATTAACTTATGGAGGGAACCCAACACATGTTGGTGCAATTTTAAGCCAGCATATCCCGAAAATATTTTTGGTATCACAGATCAAAACTTAATTGGGATGAAGAATGTTTAACATGCTTTGTACATTTTTATCACAAACAATTTTTTTGAAAATCATAATGCAAGTGGCCATTTTAGGCCTATACATGCCTCCTGTAAGACCCTGTGATCTGTGAACCATACTTGGTAAAGACAACACCTTGGTGTATTCTGAAATAAATACAATGTTTCAGATTAATTTATTGAACATTACAAATATTATTAATGTCTCAAAAGTACCCTTTTTGATTTTGTTTATTTTTAGACATATTGAAATTATAAAATGTATGCATCGAAATTGACATTATAGGTAATTAACCAATCACAGTCCTCCTGTAGGATTGCACATTCAGCAAATCACCAGCAGAGGGAGTTCCCTTTGAACACATTTTCCTATTTACTGTGTTGGTGGTACTCATAAAATTAATCATAACTTTAAAAGTAGCAAAGAGCGCACTCTGGAAATGTGATGTTCTTGTAGAGTATATTGTTTAAAACAATATGTCTAAAAATGAACTAAATAAAAAAGGATATGAATATTAATAGCTTTAATGTTGAATAAATTCATGTGTTGATTGTATTTCAGAATGTAGCGATACTCCATATTTTAGAGCACACTATAACGAGTATAATGACACCAAGATGTTGTCCGTATCATATACGGTTCACAGATAATTGGGTCTGACAAAAGGCATGTACACTCTTAGAAAAAAAGTGCTATCTAGAACCTAAAAGGTTTTTTTGGCTGTACCCATAGGAGAACCCTTTGAAGAACCCTTTTGGGTTCCATGTAGAACCCATTCCACAGAGGGTTCTACATGGAACCCAAAAGGGTTCTACCTGAAACCAAAAAGGGATCTACCTGGAACAAAAAACGGTTCTCCTATGGGGACAGCCGAATAACCCTTTTGGAACCCTTTTATCTAAGAGTGCATAGGTCTAAAAAGGGCCTAAAATGTCCGCTTTTATCATAATTTTCACAAAAAAAGGTTTGTGTTACAAATTTCAAAAGCATATCAAACATCCTTCATCCCAATTAAGTTTTTATGTGAGAATTGTCTGAACAATCTAAGATAGCAAAAGTATATTCGGGCTATACTGGCATGGATTTGTCCGTTGGAGCTCTTGACATTGAGTGCAATACAACATTTATCCATTGTTACATGTACACCAATATACACTGTCTCTCTGTCTCCCTACAAATCTACTGTAGCAGGCATAAAGAGACGCCTAAGGGGAGTTCCCACTTCGGTTTTTCAGGGGAAATGGAAGTTAGGTTGAAAATACTGCATCCCTAAACAACGGAAGTTTGTGTTTTCTGGTGACTCCACATAGGCTAATAGATTATAGACGGGAATGTCTAACCATTCAAAGCACCAATGCTCTGATGTTCTTTCAGAGGTGGGGAAGAACATCAACCAGGACAAACCCTGAGTATGAAGAAGTATGTGGAGGAGTCCCATCAGAGAGTCAGCTCCATAGGGTTCAGTCAGAGACAGAGAAACATCATGTTTACACACAGCCCCAAGCAAGGCATGGTAAGGTCTAGAGCCGCAGGTTATATAATGGACACATAATGTATATGTATAGATGACATGTAATGTCTAGATAATGTGATGGTCATGTATGAGCCCTTGCAGATAATCTCTACACTGTACTGTGAAGGAAATTCATTGAACAAAATATTTGGTTGCACTAGCTGGGAAGTGGACAGCCATCCAATTTATTACTAATAATAAGCATCATCCCGTCACTTTGAGGATGATGTTTCCCATGACACCTCACTTTGAAGAACTACTTTTCCCAGGACACCTGCAAATTCAAAAATGCAATCATCACCTATCAAAAAAGATTCTGGAGATTCTCACAGGCACCAAGGCCAAGTTCTCACAGGCATGGAGGCCAAGTTAAAACTTGAAAAAATAGGTGTCTGATTCTCCTCTGATTTGACTTTACTCTCCAGTGCTTTTGTTGAGTGGTTGTTTGTCACTGTCAGTAAAGGCATCTGTTGTTGTGCTTTTCTTGATTGGCTGACAGTAAGATATCTGTTGTTGTGACGTTGTTGATTGGCTGGCAGTAAAGGGATTGGTTGTTCTGCTGTTGTTAATTGGTTGACAGTAAGAAATATGTCAATGAGGGACCTGACGTGGAGTGATCTGGAGCTAGTGGTGGAGAGGGCTCCTGTCCAGCCGTACCAGCGGAGCTTGACTGACGGGGTATGGCCCCTGGTGTAAGGGGTCCTGCTAGGCTTCGCCGGGGCCTTCCTCATGGGGGTACCCATCCTCCTCTTCCTCCTGCACATCTCTATTCCACCTCTCTAACAAGACCAGGGGACAGTCATCATCATCACATCAAGCCAGAAACACACGGCTATGGCTGGAGATGTGACATCAGCAGAAATGGCCCCCCATAAAAATGGCCACCCATAAAGTAACTTGGAAAGGTCAAGGGATTCAAGCCAGGGTGCTCTTGCCAAGTCAAGACAATGATCCACTGGGGTACACATAAAGAACTGAAGAGAGAATTTAAATAAAAAAAGATATCATGAAGAACTGAAAAAGTGTTGCTACTGCTTTCTATATTGCTGCCCTGAAGTTAACAGGCGCTATCAACAAAGATCAGTGGGAAAAGGTTGTGATGGACTACTTTCTGGAGGACGATCGTGCCATACTGACTCTCTCTGAATCTGAAAATGAATCAGACGATGAGGAAATCCCTGATTTAGATTTTTTTAAATTCATTGAACCAGACATTGTAGAGTCTTCGGATGACAGTGATGGGGAAGAAGCGGCGATCAACGGTGTTGTTGTCACGGAATAAGTTGACCGAGTGGAAGCAGAGAGATGATTGCCAAATGTGGAGAGAGTTCAAAGAGAACACAGAACGCTGTTGTATTAAACGCCTGTCTCCGGATTACATCTTCAAACTAAGGGCAAAGATGGCATCCATGACAGAGAGGGAGAAGCGTTCATCCATGTATACGGATAAGAGTCTAGCTACATTTTCAGATATTATACGTTTCTAATCTAAAGTCATTTTCATTGCAAGTTAATGCGTACTGTTAGCTAGCTGGCTAACGTTAGCTGGCTGGCTCGCTAGCTAACGTTATGTGTATAATCTGTGTAGTAATATTATTCATATCTCAGAAATCCATTTGCATTGCTAGTTATAGCCTAATGTTAGCTAGCTAGCTAACCTATTTGGTTAGCTTAAGCTACCTGCAGATTCATGCATGGTGCATGCTAGTATTGCCGTGTTCAAAACAACTGGGAACTCTGAAAAATACGAGGTCAAATCAAGACGTCAGTGATCTTCAAGTCGGAAACTCAGAGCTCTAGAAAGAGTCCCAAGTTCCCGAGTTGGAATTCTGAGTTGGATGACCATTCAAATAGATTTTTCAGAGTCGGAGCTCATTTTTTCTCTAAGTTCCCAGTTGTTTTGAACGCACTGATGTCGGAAGTGGGAGATTTCCAAGTTCCCAGTTGTTTTGAACGCGCCATTAGAGTTGTGATTATGGTTAATTGTTTAGCTAGCTAGATACAGTGCATTCGGAAAGTATTCAGACCCCTTGACTTTTTCCACATTTTGTTGCATTACAGCCTTATTCTAAAATTGATTAAATTGTTTTTTCCTCATCAATCTACACACAATACCCCATAATCACAAAGCAAAAACAGGTTTATAGAAATGTTAGCAAATTCATTAAAAATAAAAAAACATAAATATTAAATTTACATACACTACAAGTTTGGACACACCTACTCATTCAAGGGTTTTTCTTTATTTTTACTATTTTTTACATTGTAGAATAATAGTGAAGACATCAAAACTATGAAATAGCGTTGTTGTTCACTAGTTTACTCCAATTGGGGAAGGGGTGGTGGGGTTGGAAAGTAATGAAGGGAAATATA